CCAATTCGCACTGGTTTCGATTTTGGTGGTGTGAATCATTGCGGCGATTTTGGATTCTGTAATTTATTGCTCCATTGGTGCGTATAATCATCGATTCTTCTGCTTTTGTTAAGTTTTTTTTTTGTGTTTGCTCTGATGATGAATGATCTTCGATCGTTTATGATTGTGTTCGATCGTTTCTTTGAAACTTATACACTCTGAGAATGTTTGTTTTTAGTGCTTCTGAATCATATGATCGTTTGTTGATTTCTCTTCTATTGAAATTTGTGTATCGATTTCGAAGCTTAAGAATGATTCTGGTTAATATGATTAATGTTTCCTTGATCATGATCTGTTTTGATATCGTTTCTTACTTCTAACGACTTGTGTTGTAGTCTGATGCTGATGATGCTTTAAGTATCTGCTAGATTAAGTTTTTGGATTATAGTCTTATTGTGGTGGATATGTTAGTTGATTCTTCTTCTTCTCTATTTTTGTTTCGTTTCAGGAAAGTGTGACAGTGATCAACTCTGTATTCTCCTCCTCTATCCTCAACATATATGTTGCTCTCCAGAAATCTGTCGATGCCTGTGACTGATGCTTAGTTCAGTATCATTTGATTCAAACAGATTCAGAGGTAGTCTGTGTTGTTGCAAGGATTTGGTAGATAATTCGCTTTACCGCGATTAGGCTATCGTAGGGAATTTCGGATAAGTGACCGATATTGAAACTGAGGCTTTTTAGAAGGTTGAAGAGATCTCATAGGAAACTACAATCCAATAAGTTATAAGGTTCTTTGGGCATTGGTATGGGTTTGCCGCAGATTGTTTCAAATGAGGAAGCTCATGAAGCTTTGTCGTCTGCTTCAAGTTGCAGTCTTTCTCAAAGTCTGCCGGTAAATGCCACTTCAGGTGATTTTGACGGTATTAACAGAGATAGCGAGGGAACATTGGAATCTTCGGAGTTTAGAGATGATCCGTGGAGATATAATCATGGCACTCGGCTTGTTACCTCATTATGTGCTCACGAACCAAGTTATGCCAAGGATAAGGTTAATTGGAGTAGGACTGAAGTTAGAAGGATAGTTGGTTTCAAATCTAGTGAAACTAGCTCACCGAGTAATGAATACACAAGTATCARTGTTAATCGCACTAGTGGATCAAGTGAAGTAGATATTACTGGTGGATCGTTAGTCAGGAAACGGGTAAGCTCTCCTCTGAATACGCTTTTCCCCGAGAAATTTAGAGGCGACACGCTTGATATCAGCTGCAGCAACCAACAAATGACTTCTGCCAGTCTTTCTAATGGATTCTACATTCCCATTGCACAAGATCACAAAAAGGCCAATATATCCGATAGACTACATCTCTCTACCATGTCTACAACCACTTCTACTTGCCGTGAATGGGGAAGTGATTCGTCACACAGGAGTAAACTTTCATCTATCTTTTTCACGGATGGTCCATTGCTCGACTCCAATGATCTGCAGCACACAAAAGGTGTAGCTTGCTTATATTCACCAGTACCCGCTAAGCCGTTACCATGCTACAAGAATATATCTGTCTCTCCGCCACTTTCTCTGTCACCTCTTGGCCCGAGATTTTCCGAGAGAATAAAAGCTCTACGAGGGGGCGTAGATGGGAAGATTTTCGAAGATGGTGTTTGTGTAAGGAATATCGGTGAAGAAGCAGAACTCCGGACTGGTCATAGATTGTTTGATGATGCTAATGGTATCCAGAGAGCATTTTCTATGGATAGAGCTATTGAATCAATTCCTACATGTCCATGTAATAGGTTCAGTAGAAGCTTGAGTGGACGTCCCATTCGAAGGTCATTGATTGGTTCTTTTGAAGAATCCCTCTTGTCAGGAAGATTATCATATGGGCAAACGAATCAGGTCTCTTTTCATCACTTTTTGATGCTTTGATAACTCGGCGCGTTCTTTTGAAGAGTTGGTCTTACTCTCTTTTTGTCTGTTTCGTTACAGAATATCGACGGGTTTCTTGCAATTCTTAGTATTGCTGGTGGAAACATCTCTCCAAAATCACAGAAGCTTCCATTCTCAGTAACAAGTGTTGGTGATGATTGCTTCTTACTATACTATGCCTCCATAGATCTCTCTGGAGGAGCTTTGCCAAACAAATTATGGGGTCAGAAAATGAAAACGAATCAAAACAACTCTGATCCTCAGACCATTAATAGTCGGTTGCGGATCCCTATGAAGGGTCGGATTCAACTGGTACCTCTTGTCCCTCTCTTAATAATGAAATAAAATTAGGATAATTTGACGAGTGATTTTATGATAGGAGCTTCTCTGTTTTGCAGGTTTTGAGTAACCCTGAAAAGACACCTCTTCACACTTTCCTCTGTAACTATGACTTAACTGATATGCCACTCGGTACAAAGGTAACTTTAGAATTCCTTTGTTATATGTAAACGTAAACGCCAGATGCAAATGGGAGGCATTTGACGTTTTGTTTGATCAAATTCTTGTGTTATGTTATAATCAGACTTTCCTGAGGCAAAAGGTTACTCTGGCCTCTTCTGTTCCGACAAAAGCCAAAAACTCCATAGATCCAGACCAAGTTCTTGCAACTAAATCAAGGAAAGGATCTGATTCAGTTGATGAATTACATTCGCCGAGTGAGTGCGAGAACAAGAAATGCCGTGAGACTTACAAAGAAACAAGAGAATGCTGTTCGAAATCTGCAGTTTTACGATACGCCCTTCATCTGAAATTTCTCTGCCCTTCACGCAAGAAAGCTTCAAAAATAGGTCAGAAGAAAAACTTGAATGATGATGAAGAGAGGAGATTCTATTTATACAATGACTTGAGAGTTGTGTTTCCTCAAAGACACACAGATTCTGATGAAGGAAAGGTATGTTAGAAAAAAAAATTATAAGTTTATACAAACGCAATCGCAAAAACGCTGATTTTGCTTTTGAAACTTGCAGTTGAATGTGGAGTATCATTACCCAGAGAATCCAAGATACTTCGACGTAACCAATTAATCTCCGCTTCCGAATTTGTATACGGTACACTTATATTTTATACATGATTTTTTTCGTTTGTTAGAAGGAAAGAAATAACAGGATGTTGCACATAAAATAAAGAATAACCTCTTCTCTATGATCCTTGGACGTTACGCAGACGACGAGCCAATCAATGTCTTAAAATGTAAATAACAAGGCCATTCCTCTGTATTAGTGGATTCTTCAATTAGGGATTGTAGTCTCTTCTCTCGAGAACATTCTTGATTCCTTTTTTCTTAAAGAACATTCTATTCATGTCTCTGCTTCTGAGCCGGATCTCGAGGAAACTTGCGTTGGTAAGAAGATCCTTTCTTCTTCTCTGTAATGGATTCTCATCATCTTCCTCCCTTGTTTCATCCTCGGCGCTACTAAGTATTCAAGGGATTTGGGAAGCCTCTACATTTCCAATGCTAACGAATGTTGCAGCAGCATTGTTTTACAATAAAAAGGTGCCTCGCAAGTTGGTCTATAACGATATCCATGATTATGCAATGCTAACCATCGGGGCATCTCATGGCTGGGTAGCTACTTTGTAGAAAGACGACGACATCTTGCGTCTCCAAGACGACTTAAACCGGTCGCATTCGACACACATCCCAAACGCATTCCCCTACCTCCTCTTGTATCTCTACCTCGTTGCCAAACCAAAATCATCACCAACGTGTCAATGTCCTCTTCTTCTCCTGAGGATGAGGACTGTGTTGTTGCTGTCAAGTTTTTGGGACCTCAGCTCAGCTTTTGCAGACCGGCTCGAAGTAACTCCGAGTGGACCAACGTAAGAATCGAAATGCCCTGCTTCTACTCCTCCCGAGTCATGTTTTCCAAGAGAGATGACATGTTTCACATTCTCGGTTCTGGTGGTCACCTCATCGGGTCATGGGATCTCTCCGAACACATAACCAACCTCAAGTTGCAGAACTTGCGATTTCAAATCGTTCCCGAGCTGACCGAGGACAAACAGGAGCTTATTATGGTTTCATGCTACACGAGTGAACACTTGGTTGAGTCAAGAACCACTGGTGAAACTTTCTTGGTTAAGTTGTACAAAAAAGCCACCGAGGACACCGACGGTACAACCAACATGAAAACAAAAGAATTGATGGTGTTCAAGATAGACGAACAAGGGAACGCTGTTTACACTCGAGACATTGGAGATTTAGTCATTTTCATCTCAAGGAATAAACTTTTCTGTGTCTCTACTAGCTCCTTTCCTGGCATAGAACCTAACTATGTTAAATTCTTGGATTTCGACGAAATCGCGTTTATCAGTCTAGCTGGTTACCCCTTCATGAGTTCCATTTGTGAATTCTCGTCCCCTTACTATATTCCACCTCAAGATATAATAGACAAGTAGTAGTTTGTGGAAATGAGTTTGAGTCTAGACTCTGTCTTTTCTCTTAAACCATCTATTTATGTAAGATTGGTATGCATATGCTCTTAGTTAGCAGCGATCATTGTGCAAGTATTTGGGTGAATTAGTTTATTGATATACGTCTTATTAATTTATTCTTTGATTATGAATCAGTTTGACAATCATATTGATCAACTTCACCCATTGAAATGTCTTTAAAAAAAACCACAAAACACAAAGATAGATCATGTGATTAACTTCTGTTTGGAACAGGTAGACACTTACATAAGCCTTACATTCTCTAAATAGTTTGGAAATGTGTAAACTCTATAATAATTAAACAAGTGAAACATTGGAACTTCAACTCTTACTCTTGTGATAATGTTCCTCTCGAGATTGTAGTAAAAAATGAAGAAAGGATTTCGTGTATAGCAGCATGGGTACAACACAATTTCACCACTACTAATCATTCCAGCGGTGCATACATTGCTCGTTGCATCCAGCCATGAATGCGGCATTTGGTAGCTATTCTTTGACCATTTATGCTTCTCAGCATCCTCCAAAACCCACAACTCGAAAAGATCATGTTCAGTATCACAATTACAAGCACCTAATTTGTCGTTGTAATCTATCAGACTGAAAGTGAAAGCTTCTTCTGAGATCTTTGTTGGCATGTCTTGACCAATGTTAATAAAACTGAATTTCTCAGCAAACGATGGTACGTTTTTCGTGATTGATCAATATCGCTGGATAATACAAAACACCGTTGATGCATATCCCATTATCATCTACAGGATAATGAATTGTACAACATTGGATATTTCTCCAAAAGAGATTTCCCTTTCTAGTCCCCAATGTGAGAACTCGATACTCACAGAACAAGTGTCGCTTGGTGATACACAATATCTTGTGTTGTTTGTTGATTGGATCATACCCGAAAGAAAATCTTACTTGTTCTGACCTAATCCCCTCCAATTTCAGTTCGGGTGAGAATACATACTCTCCAGTGATGGGATTAGAAACCACCACAGATGTATAAGTCTTACCAATATGTTGACGACAGACCAATCCGAGGACTGGGTGACACAATTTATTGAAATATGTATCCACATTCTCACAAGGAGTGGCTACAAGAGATGAATTCTTATTCGGGTTTTGAGGTTGAGGTGAAGAGTATAAGAACACGTTTGCAAGAGATTCAAAGTTGAACAGAAGCCTTGGTGTAACCGGATACTTGATCGGGAACAAGAGGTTGTAATTTGGAATGCGAATTATGGATGACCAGAGCTTCGATATGCATCGACACTTTGCTATATGCTTTATCGGCAATTTCGACAAGATATTGACCACCAGATCAACAGGAAACCGATCAAAGTATCTTATTTCTCCACAGGAGGTTGAAGATCGTTTAGTAGGTTTGGATACGGTTAGGTTATCCTCTGAGACTTGCTGCTTACGCTTTCTCATGTTAAGATTAAACCCTAAATTGTTCGTTGTGACGAAAGTAAAGCGCGCCTCTTTCACTTAAATATACACTCCACAAGTTGGGCTTTGTTACGGCCCACTTACTAATTGCATGAATTTGAACACAACACCCCCAACTTAAAATGACATGCCTTAAAAATCCATACACTTTTAAAAAATTACAAAACAAACCCAAC